CTTCTTACCCCCATTCGACCAATTTCAAACCTATGCCACCAATCGTTAACTGAATACAATAATATTAGTATAGGTTGTGACGGCATACTAAATAAAGCGAATTTGGTAGCCATTAGCTACTGTTAATCCTACCCAGTACAAGTATTCGAACTAAATAAAAAGTGGTCTTGGAAATCGTTGGTACTTATTGATTTGTCCCGCTATCTTAACCAACCTCGTCCAAACTTTCACTTGAGTTTCCTTTTTAAGTTGGATATTCTTTTGATTTTTGAGTAGGATTGTTGCTCCGGACAAAATGTGGTGTTTACAGCCTCCATGGCCAACTCCAACTTGGATTTCTCTTGGGGTTGTTGAGGGAAATCTTCTTGATATGGGGAAGCTTCTTCATACCCCCAATTGTATGCTTGTTAACCTTGGAAGGGGGGTTGGTAGTAGAACTCGGATCCTTGACTTCCTCTATTTTCATCGTCCCATAAAGTTCCGGGGTAACCACTCTCGAGTGGTGGTGGATACCCCTACACTTGGGTGAAATCATAAGGATCAATGTTCCAAAACCTACAAACACTAAAACACTAAAAAGGAAAATCAAACACACACAAACCACTATTCAAGATGAAGAGTGGTAAACAAAACACAAACGAAACACAAAACAAAAACAAAAAGGCAAGATAGAAAATGCTAAAGTAACACTAAGCGACCTTTTCAAAATAATGGACTGTGGTTCCCCAACAACGACGCCAAAAACTTGGCTTGCTCGTACTACACCGCGAATTAATCCCGGCTAGAGCCCAAGTTTTTAAACTCTAATCGGGTGTAGTATAGGGCATGTATTTAAGTTGTCAACCCGAGCCGGTCCATGTACCCATACTTCAATCGCTTAGGTTGTTATCTAGCAAACGGGTTTGGTTTTAAAAATAAGAAAACTAAAAAAATACACAAACATGGAAAGTAAATCGAGGAGAATTCTATATGAGAGGACTTCACTTGGATCTTGCTTCCCCTAGTGTTGCGACCCAGCTCACCCCACATGACGTCACTCGAGCTCAAATTAGATCTCGACATGGACCATGGGTCAAGAGAAGATTTAAGAGGTTTAAAGTCGAGAAAGAATGACAGGACAATTCCTCGTGGATGATCAATTTAGAGGAACCCCGGGGTAAAACATAAAACAAAAGCAAACATATCTTATAACCAGACAATCATACATCATACTGTATTTTCAAGTCACATCAATGAAATCATCATAACATATCATAAAATCATACGTCCTTATGGACTTCAGGCATCCATCCGATGATTTTATACAAACTATACATCAATTGCATGTTTTTTAACTTGCAAAGTTTGGCATTTGTTTTGACTTACAATTTTGGCAAGTCATTGCATCACTTTATGCATGTCTGCATCAAATATCATAAACCAGTAAAGGATGACCGGCTAGCATCAACAAATCCGCCAACGCTGTCGAGCGTTAAAGAAATAAATTAGACGATGACTAGCGAGCATCGACAAATCCGCCAATGCTGTCGAGCGTTAAAGAAGTACAGTAGACGATGACTGGCGAGCATCAGCAAATCCGCCAATGCTGTCGAGTGTTAAAGAAGTACAGTAGACGAGGACTGGTGAGCATCATCAAATTCACCAATTCTGTCGAGCGTTAAAGAAGTACAGTAGACGATGACTGCATCAGCAAATCCGCCAACGCTGTCGAGCGTTTAAGAAGTATACTAGAAGATGATTGGCAAGCATCAATCAATCCGCCAACGCTGCCGAGCATCAAAGAAATATAGTAGAATAAGATTTGAGCATCAGGAAACGGGAGTTGTGGAGCACCCCTACCAATCAATACGTCACAGGAGCTGGCGAGCCCCTCTACCAGTCAACAACGCATGGAAGCTAAAGAGCGCCCCTACCAATCAATACGTCACAGGAGCTGGCGAGCCCCTCTACCATTCTACAACGAACGGGAGTTGAAGAGCGCCCCTAGCATTCAATACCTCACAGGAGCTGACGAGCCCCTCTACCATTCAACAACGCACGGGAGCTGAAGAGCACCCCTACCATTCAATACCTCATAGGAGCTGGCGAGCCCCTCTATCATTCAAAAATGCACGAGAGATAAAGAGCGTCTCTACCATTAAATACGTAACTGGAATTGGCAAGCATTGAAGAAATGAAGCATATGATGATTGACAAGCATAAGAAAATCCGTCGACGCCGTCGAGGGTCAACAAAGTACACTAGAGTGAATACCAGAAAATCCGTAAATTTCCCTTCATTGAAGGAGGCTATCAAGAAATTTGGAGTCTTCGCAATCAGCAATCTCATACAAACCCACAAAATTACTCACAGTTCTCACATCACTCTCAAATCACATCCTATTTCAAGGACTCTAACACAACCATCATGCTACTTTTTAAAAATGTGGTGTCTTTATAGGAACTTTGTATTACTCTTTATACAAAGAGATATACAAAGGGGGGCAACTGTAGATACCACATTTTTTCCGGAGCAACCATTCTACTCAAAACTCAGAAGAATATCCAACTTAAAATGGAAGTTCAAGTGAATGTTTCGACGAGCTTGGTTGAGATAGCGGGGCAAATCAATAAATACCAACGATTTCCAAGTCCACTTTTTATTTAGTTCGAATATTTGTACTAGGTAGGATTAGCAGGAGCTAATGGCTACCAAATTCACTTTATTTAGAATAGCATTAGTATGCCGTCACAACCTATACTAATATTATTGTATTCAGTTAACGATTGGTGGCATAGGTTTGAAATTTGTCAATTGGGAAGACAATGGCAATCTTACTAATATTGGTCAAAAATCATAGTTAGGAACTATTTACTTAAAAGTTGGGATTTGGGTTACGATCAGAGAAAAGCAAGCAAATTGGGTTGGAAAGAATCATTGGAATGTTTGGGGTTATACATTTCAATAATTATGTCAACATTCTAATGATAAATCACAAAAAACAATTACGTAATTACAAAATACAAATGTACACATAATAATTATTACATTTAGAAGATGAACAAATAAAAAAATTAAGTATAAAAAAAGAAAAGACTTCTTCCATCTTTGCGCACCAATCAGAATTGGAGGTCTAGCCTTTGAGGCTTTTTGGGCTCCATAGATCATCATTTTGGATCAGAAACATACCTAGCATATGCCAAAAAAAGTAAGGAAATAATTAGAAATTGGCCCAAACCGGCAGCCCACATTTGAGCCCAATTTTCAAACCAGCAACCCACCTTTGAGCCCAATTTTCGAACCAGCAGCCCACATTTTAACCCAATTCAGGCCCATGATTTTCGGCCTAGTCCAATCAGGTCAACCCGGTCAACTCTGGTCAACCCGGTCAACCAAACCCACTATCTATATCACATCCCAAGACGCAGCAGATCCATATCACATCTCAAGAGTCAACAGATTTTTACTGCCATTCTCTCAAAAACAACAAAGCGGCCACCTCCTCCAATGACCAACACAATTTTGCCATCACAAGGGATGGATCAGTCCACCACTTCAAGAGAAAATACAAAGTGGCCAGCACAAAAGGAAGCTACAGTAAAAAAGTAGTATATAAGAGGTTTCTTACCTCAAAGATAAGCAGGGGCAGAGGGCAAGGAAAAATAAAAACACTAAAGAGACAAAGCATTAAACACCAAAGGGGCAGAACAGGAGCATCAAGAAGCACGAAAGGGGCCGACAACAAAAAGCTATCGTCATCACCATCAAACACCAAAGTCAGGTTGGTGATACCACCTCCCACTATTCATGTATATGCATATCTCATCCATACATCAGCATATGAGCAAAAAAACCATTTTGATGCGAAGTGTATGAGCATGTTTTTTTTTTTTTTTGCAAAGTCAGTGTTGAAAAGATAGTCACAAGGAGGAAGAAAGAAAACACCAGAGTCGACCAATAGTCGAACTCCCGATGAGAGGGCTTTTTGTGCCACATGATGGGCAGCCCTATTTAGTAAACGAGAAACAAATTAGAAAGAAAACCAACTGAAGTGAGAAACTAAGCTCCGAGTATCCTCTAGTAGAGCTCCACCCCGATCATGCGCCAAGTCGCCTCCCACCATCCCGCCGTATCAATTGTTGTGAATCCCCATGAAATTTGACAGAGACAAAGAAATGTGTCAGGCACCATTGTATGGCCTCCAGTATAACAAATGGATCTTGTAATCCTTTATAACACTTTCCGAAAGCAAAGAGAATATTACCTGACGATTAGAAACCCACAAAGCCAATACTACCTTCGTGACTGTGCTTGTCTGCACCATCAAATTAAACATTAATAGTGTTCAAGGGGTTCCTTCAACATCAGGGGCGTCATTTCCAAGTGCTCCATCAAATCTCATCAAAAGGCCACCTAGTGGACAAGACAGCCGCCACCGATCGACTATTGTGCAATTGAATCTTCACTTGCAAAATGAGCAAACAAAGGTGCCTACTAGGACAATTCAGGCCAAAGAGCCAACAAGTCAACATAGACACAAGACAGCAATTCGCCCTTGAAATAGAGAACCAGGTCATCGGGAGACCCTAGATAACCGACACCACCTGAAACACACCTATTTTTTTCTCTAAAAAGGGTACAACCTAAATTTCGGGGACCTAACAATTTGCAAGTATATAATTTTAAAAAGAAGGCAATAGATACATACGAGAAAAATGAAAAAAGTTGGAAAGAATAATTAAAAAAAAATAAAGTATAAAGGATAATAATTAAGGGAAAGAAAGAAATAATAATAATAATAATAATAATAATAATAAAGAAATAAATAAATAAATAAATAAATGATAAAGGAATACTTATCTGAACCGTCGGCCAAGAAGCGTAACCGCCACCCCGTTCGTGATTGTAATCGACAAGACATGCCTGTGATGGAGATGATCCGCCACATTGTAAAACACATTACACAATCCATGCATATGGAACCAACTCCATATCACCAATGATTCGTCACTCGTCAATCCTCAACGTATCGATATTGATAAAGCTCTTGTACTCTTTCGTACCGATGTCATTCTTCGACAATGAACCCAGAAAGTCTCTGAAGCTGGTCTCTCTATACCTCTCCCGTCCTTCATCACCAACAAGCTCCTTAGCAACCGCCAATTTTTTTCATCCATTTCCAATACTATGCAAGATGGCAATCGATATCCTCGTTTCCCCGAACGAAGGGAGGCTCTGTGCACCACGCTCTTGTACGAACCGTTGCTGAGGACCTCGACCGGTTACAGTGAGGTCGACCTCAAACAGGTTTATATTGAAGCATGCACAACAGGTTTATATTGAACTCAAACATTGAATGGATGGAGCACTTCCAATTTAAAAGTGAGTGACCTTGGATGAAAAAAATCTGGACGCTTGAGTCTCTTGGACGATACAGTATAGATGAGCATGCTTTTTATTCCATAATCCCTATTTGAGATATTCATTACTTGTATAGATATTCAGCCTAATTTGTGTAGGCATTGTTATTTATCACTTATCGTTATTCAAATATGCTTATATTTCACCTGATGTAGGGAATCTAAGAAATAATGAATGTTCTGTTTTAGTCTTTCCTTTCCAGCAAGTATGCTAGCCAAGTTTAGTACTATAATTAGTTAGGCTGGTTTTTATTTATATATACATACGACCATATAAAAAATCTAAACAACCTAAAACATAGTTGAAGATAACCCAGCAAACCATTCAAAACATAGAATTTAGAATTCAAACCAGACCCTTGGGAGAGTATTTTAAAATACCTCTTTTTTGTATTTAAGGGCACCCCTTTTTTTTACCCAATTACCAAATTTTGGTAATTACAAAGTTCTCATTTTAGTTATTATTTTGTATGCCTAAAACAATAAAATCCCTAATGTTATTGAGAATTTTAGATTTTACCAATTTGTATCAGTTTTTTTTTCAAACAATCGTTTAACTAAATCCCAACTCTAGAAAGATTCCCACCAAATTGATGATCATAAATAGTAGCTGTGATTTCAAATTCCCTAGGATCATTATAGACCTTCAAAATTTAATAAAGCAAGTTTTCGTCTTCAACATATCCAAAACCGAATATTAAGGCTAAACAAGCCTAGCAGGGGTTCGAACAAAAATCTATTTTCTTGACACCAAAGAGATTTATAAACAAATCATAGCCACAATAACCAAACCATCCAATTTAAGTTTAGAAAAGGTACCACCTAGTTTCTTCAAATTGTAGAGATCTGCAAAATCAAGGAGACCAAGAGTTAGAATCTCAAAATAGTGGAAATAAACCGAAAACCCAGAATAGCAAAAAAATTAAAACAAAAAAACCTACCTAAGCCAAACCTTCGCCGTCGGTTCTAGTGCAGGCCGTGCTGCCAACAACCATCGTCTCTCCCTTCCTTCTCTTGCCAGAGACCCAAAAACAAAAAAGACAAAAACTGAAATAGGGTTAAGATCCCGATTGAATGCAGAATCGAACAAAAAACGAACATGCATGTGAAAGAGAGCTTGCTAGGGGGTAATATCTCCCCGTTGCCTCCTCTGATCCAAAAAGAATGAGTAGATCGAGGTCGGGTCTGAATAGATCGAGTGTCCCCTTCGATTTTGGGCCGATTTCCGGAAAATAATCAATGAAAAGGATTAGAATCTCGAAATCCCTAAAATCATACCTAAAAATATTAGAGAATCGTGCATGCAAAACAAAAAACAAACTAACCTTTGATTTTAACCTCGTCGCCGTTGCCGGCGGCGTATGTCTCCTGTCGCCATCGGCGACACCCTTCCACGTCGGAGAACCCTTCCACGTCTTCCCTTTCATTTCCAGAAACAATGAGACGGAGAGAATGTAGGAAGGAGCAGAGGGGAAGATTTACACCGTCTTCCCTCTCGATTTAGAGAGATGGCAAGGGGAGGCTAGGGTTCTAGGCGGCTAGGGTTTCTTGGGTTCTTATGGAAGAGAAGAAGGGAACGAGAAAGAGTAGAGGAAGAATCATGAAGTTAGAGAGTAGGAGATAACGACGTTGACGATTAGGCGACTAGGGTTTAGGTTTTTGGGGAAGAGAAGAGGAGAGACGAGAAGAAGAATCGAGAGAGGTAGGCGACCGTTTGCTTTAGGTTATGATAGGGTTTGTTTTTTTTGTGTCTCAAGAGATGATTTTATACTACATGAAAATGACAATTTTACCCCTAGGGTTTCGTTGTTATTACGCGGCCTTGCCACCGCGTTTTTGGGAAGTTACGAAACTACCATCCCCTTTCTCTGAAATAAAATGATGATAAAAAAATGGTGGTGACCGGGTTTCAAACCCTCGTTCTCGGGAACGAGTGTGCTCTGTGATCGACAACTTAACCGATTGGGCTACTAGCTCATCATGCGTAAATATAATCATCCTGTTTAGTTTTATTTGCTTAAAGTCCTTAATACAAAATGTTGAATACGGATTAAGTTAGTTTAGCTTCTTTTTTGATACATCAAGTTTCTCCTTAATAATTAAAATTCTTGCATTCATTTTAGTAAAATCATAATAATGTAATTGAAAGTTACAACGAACTAGGTGGACTTTGATCCCGTACAACAGGTACGAAAGCAGCCGCTAAGACAACAGTCCATGGATGGTAATCAGATTAAATGGTCACCATACCCTAGCATGGATGACACCATCCATTTAATAGTTTGGATGGTGTCCATGATCTTGGATGGTACCATTTATAATAGGGTTGTGATGGTATCCATGATGTTGGACACTACCATCCATAATAGGATTTGGATGGTATCCATGATGCTGGACACTACCATCCATCAAACCTACGACCCGACTTGATAAATTGGACCATCCATGTACACATGGACCAACTACTTAAAATTGCCAAGTTGTTCATACATGTAATAATTAATGAAAATTATTTTCGTGTAAATAACGGGGTGCGTATGTGTAAGTGCAGACATGTGGCATTATGAGTGGAGGGGTAGAATGATTCCTACATCCCTACTTTTCTAGTAAATATTTAAGATGCCCGACCGAATTTTCTTCAGAATCAGTGTTATGATTCTCTTAATTACAACTTACTATCTAAGGGGCCCGGTCAGGTTTTCTTAAGAATTAGCGTTATGATTCTCGTAATTACAACGAGATTCATTAATAAATATATATAATAATAAATCGTTCGTTGTTGACGATCTTGTAAATAAATTATTTACTTTTGGGTCTGGTCATGTCCTGTCCTGTGGAAATTACACTACTCATCGCCAACCAGTAAGTCGTCCATTTTGATTCCTTGTTACCTAACCTAATAAAACGACTGAACGTTTGAGAGCTGCCTAACCCAAAACCTTTACCATCACTCGAATACTATCCGATTCATTTTCGACCAATTTATTTCTTCTTTTCTATCATTGATTTTAAACATTATCAACACAAGAATAAGATTAATTATAATGCATAAGACACCATGTACTTTGTTAAACTGCGATGCTACGAATCGGGAAATCGGAGGATTCGACAAAGTAAGAAAGCGAAAACAGAAAGCACACGATACACGATTTACGTGGTTCACTAACGCAATGTGTGTTAGCTAGTCCACGGGCAAGAGAGAGCCAGTTTTCACTATACTTCGGGGAGATTCCATATTACAGAGGAGATGAGAAGTATTTATACTTATCCATGTGGGTCTTAACCTAATCCAATCTGGTAAAGGAAACGGTTACAGATCAAGCCCAAAACTGACAGCGAGACCCCCGTGACTTTCAGTCGTAGCGGCTGATAGTCCGATTCAAGTCACATAAACAAATCTCAACCTTGACTTGAATCCTCTTCCTCTAAAATATATGATGTACTCTGCTCCTTCTCTCTCTCCTTCCATCAATGCCCCGTAGGGCAGAGTCACCCACTCAAGACATTCAGCAAGTCCAAGTAGTTAAACACGGACGTGTCCTTGACCGTGTTTTGCCCAATGTCGGGTTAAACAGGTTGTTTCAAGCCAAAGAGAGGGGACATGAATTTCTAGAGCAAAAACAGAGTCCTAGAGAGAGAAAGTGCGAAGAACAAACCCTAGAGGTGATTTTGGAGTTGGGTTTCATCAATCAAGCTTGGATTTCATCTTGAGAGTGAAGATTATCATCCCAAAGCAGATTCTTCCCATCATTATGAGTATGAATGCTTTGTATTCTGTTTTGCTCTCTCTCTATTGAGTAGAACTCTCTCTCACTTGGGTATGAAGAACCCTAGTTCCATGTGCTAGGTATATTTGGCAAAGTATGAAGAACCTTTATAATGCACCTGGTTATAGGTTATACTTGCCTATGATTGGGATTAAGTATGATGCTATTTGGCAAAGTATAGTGAAACTACCTGAATCTTGTTTATGAGGAAAGCTTGTTTGAAGGTTGATGGAGCATTCCCCGCCAATCTCCACCATGTCGACATTGGTGAGTTTCCTCTTCTTCATGAGTATCTCCTTAATTGGCATACTTTCGGTGTGGTTTTAACCTATTACCTCTTAGAACTAGGATGCACACTAACCACATAGACTAATTGAATTTCTTGTATTGTTTGCGTAGGAAAATCATTTTTAACAGAGTTACGGTTAAATGTTGTTCCATAGGAAAACCCATTGTTCTCGTTCCTTCACCCTATAGACCCCTTGGTCATTTTTCGATTCATCTTCGTACAAAAACATTTTCCTTTTTTTTTTGTCCAGAATGAATGTATTACTTAATAATTATAAAAAATTTCAATATGTATAGCTGATGACTATATAAATGTCCTTGGTAATATTAAATATTCCTGACACATTAATGCCTCGTCTATAATATAGATTTTTCTTGACAAACTGTTACCGATGACAATAGGTTGTCGTCATAATATTTTTGACGGGCAGGTGATCCCCGTCAGTAATTATGATTTCTTCCAATGATGAATTTTATATTCGTCAGAAATAGTAAATATTACCGACGGAAAAAGTATAGCGTCATAAATAATGATTGTTCGGAATTGAAGCACTAAAATATCCCTCTTAATGAGGGAAGATTTACTAATTACCGACGAAATCTAATATGGTAAGTAAAAAGGTAAATATTACTAATGGCATACGTTGTTTGTCGGCAATAGTGACTTTTTATGACGCCAATTCAGTGTCGTCAGAAAGTTTTTGTCAGAAACTGCTTGTCTTTTTGTAGTGCTTTGCCGCTTCGGAGGAAAATGGCATTCACTCCTGCCCAGTCTGAGCCGACAAAGTTCCCAATTTGTGTTTC